CCCTCGTTTAAAGTTTAGGTTTGTAAACTTTTGATATTCTCTTTGTCTGTTCTTCACTGTGCAAATCGATTCATTTGAGTTTTTCCCGAAGATACCAGTTTCGGTTTTTTTAGAAGATACCAAGGCATGCCTTGATTTTTTGGGCTTCTTTCTCCCTTAATCGTCCATTGATCGATTCTTTTGGTTAGATTTTTGTTTTTCTTTGAAATTCCTTAGTTGTAGAAGAAAACCCCTAATCTCTAGGTCAGTAAATTTTTGTTTCTGATAGATTTGTAAATGACGGATTTGTTTTGGACAAATTTTTGCAGCGACAGATTTGTAGAAGAAAACTCACCTTAGTGATATCCTCAAAGACACCAAGGTATGCTCGGTTTCTTTGGGGCTTTTTTCACGTTTTTAGTTCTGTAAGCTTATTTGGCCGTTTGGTTCCTCTTCAACCATGTATTGAGTTTTTTTTTTATTTTTATTTTTGTTCAAATTTCTCATTGTTTGTATTATTGTATTCATAAGAACTTCACCGGATTTTCAAGGACCTCCGGAAGTCTCACCGTTACAAGCACGCCCTCGAGGTTCTTTTATTTTTTATCTTTTTTTTTCATTTTTCTGTGTATTGCTAAATTTAATTTTTCCGAGTTCTTTGTTTTCATCTTTGTCAAGTCGAGATGAAAAGCATTTCCGGGTGATTAGCATTACTTGAAATTAGGACTCTTCTGTTGTAAATACTAGTAGGATTAGAAAATCCCATATTTGAAACAAAAGTATAGTTGGAATTTGGAAGTTTTAAGAAGAAGAAGAAGAATAACAACAACAACAACAACAACAACACGAAGCTTCTTATAGTGAAGCCCTAGACCTTTTAATTTAGAAAAACTTTTTTTTAGCCCCCTCGGGCCAAGATCTTCACTCACATAATGGTGAGGCGCTGGCCCGTCAGGCCATTAAGTATTGCCTTTTCATTTTAACAAAGCGGTATGAGTTCATGCTACATGGGATTACACGAAGAAGCAAGTCCGAATGATTATGTCTGTCAGAGTTGCTGGACATGTTCAATTTGGGGACGGATTGTCTAAGGTGAAGATAGCTGAACATTTTTCTTTTCTGTGATGTTTGCTGAAATTTGTTAATTACTGACTTAGTGACATTTTGGAGTAAGAAGGTGAAAAGTTCTTAAACACGTCGAACTTTTTTCCATTGTAGTTTTTAGGGGTAAAAAAAAAGTGTGGTTTTCTAGATTTGGTTGTAGCTCTCTTGAGATTAAGGTTTTCGATGCTGCTGCTGCTGCTTCTTCTTCTTCTTTCATCTCTGTCATCTTTCCTTCAGATTCGGCCTTGGGGAAGTTGTGTTCTTTCATTTCTTTGTCAGATCGGCCTTCGTGAAGGCTTGTTCTTCTCATTTCTTCGTCAAATTCGGCCTTCGGGAAGTCGAATTTTTCAGTGGGCAAGGCTGCAGCTCTGTTTCAGCTCTCCATCTTCGTCGTTTCCCTCATCTGGATCTTCTCCGGTAACCCCTCATTTCCTTTCTCTTTCTCTAAATCACCCAACTTTCTTTCTCCTCTTTGTTTTTCGCCAATTTCGAACAAACCCACATCTTCAAACCACAAGTTTTTCACTTTTCCTTTCAGCACCAATAATGTCTACGTCTATCACTCTGGATCGGTTTTAATCCTTATCTTTCCTAGTTTATTATGTTGCTTTTTTTATGGAATTATTCTCGTCATTTTAGAATTATAGCTTGTAAAATTTCAAATTTTTAGTCTAGATAGCAGATAGAAGAGACTCTTTGCATTTCTTTGTAAGCGAGAAAATGTGTTGTAATCGTCAATGACGTGGCATGTCCATGTCAATGACTCTTTGCATTTCTTTGTAAGCGAGAGACTCTTGTTTGATTTAGCTTTATGAGCTACTTTAATGTTATTTGTTACGTTTATGATTATGAGGATTTGTGCATTTACAGGCCGCTGATTCTCAGATTGTTTCGGACTATGTTCGTTATTTCCTTCACCAACACATGTAAGTTAATTAAAATGCTGTTTGGCTGTTTAGATCCTTTGTTAACACACCGGAAGCAATAGTAATTGGTCTTGGTTGTTTATTGGGTCTAAATTCATGTTACTAACGGTTTACTAGTTTTATGCATTGATGCCCACTTTATATTTCAACCCTTGTGAATAGAATACAACAAGGTCAGCCTGCATCTGTCAAAGTTGCCGCAAACATCGTCCGGCTTTTGTCTTACAATAACAAGGTTTGGATTGTTACTCAAGCTCTATGCTTGTGGTTAGTATACATTTTTGTTGGAGGTTTAAACATATATAGGAGATATCAGTTTTAGCACGATGGAGTTAAGTGACTTCAGTGTTGTTATTTCAATATTTAATTGGCAAGTTGTTCGTTTATTTGTACTTTTGGATTCTGAAATAATTTTCATTTTCATTGCAAGGGATGATAGTATTTAGGAGTTAGGATTACTGTGTACATACTCTCTTTATGAGTAATCTCGGGTTTTGCTTTGCTTCAAGTCTGAAATTTCGTATGCTCCTTTGTGCTGTATCACGTAATTCCTGGGAACAACATTTAGTGTTTTGGTTAAAGTCGATTTTTGAGATGACAATTTTGAGTTGGTATAGTTTTTGTGCTCCCCGCTATATTTTTTCCCTTGTTTTCATGGATCGATAGGGTCTTTAAATCATGTGTGCTCAGTTGTTTCATGTCTTGTTTGTGTTGAAGCATTTCTAGTTCATCTATGTTTATAGTTCATCATAATTTTTTTGGCTTGGCAGGATGTTTTACAAACTGGTATGATAGACAAGTACGAAGGTGGTAAAATATATGGAATTCCCCTCGGTGGAATAATTATAGAGCAGCCATTTTCTATTGGGGGTATGTTATTCTTGTCTAAACTAATTAAGCTCCCCTTTCAACTTTAGATATCAGGTTGCCATTAAAATATATATGCCATACGGGATACTTCCCTCAGGCCTTTTTAGGTCAGTAATGTATCATTGTGAACCTACCTAAACTCTATTGGTAATCTAGTGGTAATCTTGGTGTTGGATTTGACTTGTCTTGTTAATTGGTTTTATTTGAATGAGCTGCTAATACATGTGGAGTACTTATTCACGAGTTCATAAATATCAGGGTTTAGTATCGTGTCCTGATAGTAGGGAAGGATGGTCGACTACACTCATGTTGATATTAAGATGGTTTTGTAATGTGTATAACTGTTTCGAAGTTCTGTTATTTGTATGGATTCTTTGACCAAGCATGGAAAGAAGAAATGACCATGGATGAAGCTGAGGTATGTATTCCTTATATGTGAATGCAAGAATCAGTAGCAGCCTTGAATAGATTGGGTGTTAGGTCCCCTATTTTTTTCACGCGCTTGTGTTAATTTTCTTAAATATACTCTTACTGAGAAAGCATTTCCTCTATTTTTGTTAGTAAGCTTGATTGAGTTCTTTTTTTTTTTAAATGAATTTCGAGTTTCTTGATAGACTTTTGTATGATTTAGAGATGGAAATCTTGAAGGGGTGTTAGTATATATTGGATTTGAAATGTTTTTGCACATATTTATTGATATTGGATCGAGTTTTTGAAGTGAAAAACTGATTCCGAAGCTGTCCTGTTGGTTTAATCTTTGAATAAGCATTATGTATGCTTTAAACTTGCTTAAAATGCATATCATGTGTTTGTTGAAATGTATAGTGGTCTTATATGTCTAAAATGCCTACTATGTTTTTTATGGTTGTTTATTATTGTGCCTCATTATGCGATCTTTTGTTTGTTTTTAGATTCTATTTCTTGTCTGTCTTGGTAAATCTATATCTATGATGTTTAATAAAATGATGCGCTTATAGTTTGCATAATGTTTATCATCCTAAACCTGCATTTGTCTGTCTTGGTTGTGAGATGCTTTAATTAATGTGTTCATTTGGATTTTTGATTTAGCATGTGTTCATTTGTTATTTTGTTGGCTTTTGTTATTTCCTACAGATCAATAGATACTTTGTTCAGTTGGATGGAGTTTTGCTAAAGTTGGAGCACAAAATGAATGAAGATTTTTTAAACTTCCAACTTATGAAAAATTTGACGGCTAGTCACATTCCCTCTAATAGCTAGCGACCTTTTAGTTCTTTTGTTTTCTAGATTTGCTCTGAACTTCGTATACAGTGAAGAAATAGTTGGCAAGTTGAAAACATTAGTATGGATTGATTACTTTCCTTATTGTATGGATTAGTGAATTATATTGTGAAGGTGGTATTTGACTATTTAGTGTACTTTTAAAATTCAGCATCATACATAATAGTACATCAGTGCATTATTCATTTGAAGTTATATAAGCAATTCAAATAGTTAACCAAGATGTATAGACTTGTATATTGATTTTAAAAATTAACAGATACTTGATAGCCATTAAAAACTGCAATAGAAACTAAAACATAGCTAGTCGGAATAGCTATAGATGAGCTTTCTACAGCGTTTTGAATAGCAATTAAAAAGCGCTACAAAGGCTATAGGCTTTTAATAGCGTCGGCTGTACTAGCGTTTAGCAAAACGCTATATTAATAGTTTAATAGCATTTTCCATCAGCTATTGAAGAGGATTTTTCTTTTAGTGTTGGCGAAGCTTTTTTATTAGAAGAAAGTAATTAAAGACTAGATAATTATGAGTTTGTTCACATTGCAATGATACAAAAACCAGATACATATTATCTGTCTTCTCTGCGTGGCTCCTTACATTTTTACCACATACTAAAACAGGATTTCGGACAAATTTGCCATGCGCTACTAACACTAATGGCCTTAATTCCATTCTAACACAAAATTAGAATATTAATCCTTCCTTTTAAAGAAAGGGTTACCATATTTATGACCTTTGAGCCGGTATATAACAAAGCTAAGCAGTCCGACATCACTTCATCGCTCACAAAAACAATTTCCTTTCATTCTCCGGCACTTCTTTTTTAATTTTCACTCACATTTTCTCGCTTTCTCCACCAACATGTCCAACTACAAGATAACTCTAGAGGAGCTCCAAAAGTACCACAAGACAGACCGAAAGATGTTCCCTCAGCTGATTTTGGACATGATGAGGGAACCAGGCGAGTCATTGCTCATAATTGCTACATGGTTGTGGCTCAAGGAGAGAAGCTTCCCGGACATCATAGGAAAAACTGTGGGAGTTTCCGACATCTTAGTCGGCATGCTAGCTGATGAGGCCGTTATATTCCTCAAATCCCTCGACGTGTCCACCCCGCGCATGCAGCAGCTCAAACCGGGCATGCATTTCACCTCTCACGACGTCATGGACCAAAAGCTTTCCCTCCAAACTTTCGACTCAGCCAATGAGAGGTCTATGGCCATTGCAGGTATAAAGAACATCCTCCAAACTGTCTGCTCCCGGGTGTTCAATGACATCTTGTTGTGTTTTTTCTTTGGCACTCCACACGTGGTGTTGGACCGCCCTCTTCTTGTCCCCGGATTCCCACACCCATTGTTTGGCAGCCTAACTATGTCACTACTCAGCTCAAGGAATATGACATCTCTCCCAACAGTACATGGGAGTATAGTGGCATATACAACAAATGTTGGACTCTGCAGAGTGGTAATTCTGGCCATGTATACAACAACCCTTGTATGCTCGATTGATTCTGAGATCCTTCAATGACATTGAAATCATTCTTAGAGGACGGCGAGTCTCCAAGTTTAGAGTTAAGGGGAAACATATATGGGCTCGGAGATATGAAATCCGAGACTAAATATGGATAATGATCCTGACTTTCGCAGATTTGAGTTTTCAATTCGAGTTGGGATGTGACATTTTTTAAAAACTTTTTACTGTAACAGAAAAAGTTAGATGTGACATTTTATGAGAGATTTTTACTGTAGCAGAAAAAATTAGATGTGACATTTTCTGAGAGCTTTTTACTGTAAAAACTTAAAACTGAAAACTTAAATTGGTGAAATAAACGAGGCCTAAAATAGTTGAAATCAAAGAGATAACTCTGGCCTGTTCCTATGGTTGAATATATGTGTGTGTGTTCTATGGTTGAATGGCCTCCTTTTTAATCTCTCCATTGCGCGAACTTTTTGTTTTTTTATTTTATTTTTTAGAAATAATGTTTTTTGAGAGTTGAGAGTTGTTCTTCGAGTTAGCTACGCATGCATTGTATAAGCATGGTTATGATGTTGTCCATGGTTCATCTTTTGTTGAGTCAAATACATTAATTGATTTTACTTTTTTTTTATCAATATTGTACTTCATGAAAAGTAATCATTTGTGCAACAAAATTGGAGAATTGGAAAATCCTCACAAGGAAATAAACGAGAAAAGGTAGGATCGATGTTATAATGCTATGTATCACCGAGTATGTACGGTCCCGTTTATTTTATCGATTTGAGTTTTCAATTCAAATTTTATTACAATTAAAAAGCTTTTATAAAAAATACAGTTATATGATCTTTCTGTTTGAATTTATGTTAAAATAAACAAACAAAAACCACATGACCATACTTAACTTGGTAAATCCAGGATTTACCATTAGAACTTGAACTATTATTTTTCAAGTGATTCTAACTTAGTAAGTCCTGAATATATCTAGATTTACCAAAAGAAAGGGGAAAATACCAAGGAAAGGGTAAATTAGAAAATTAAAAATTAAAAACATGAAATGGTCTATTAATTTCTATACATTGATAAATTGGCCATTTACTTCCATAAATTTTAAATGCAGGCCTATTTCCTATCATTTCTCAAAAACTAATTGGTTTGGAACACATTTAGGAGGGGCAAACCTGAAACGTGGTGGAGATATTAAGGTTAAAGGATTATTATCATTAGTGCCACTTAAATTTTAGAATCATTCTCAGTTTGTCTCTCGAATTTTTAAAACTCTCACTTTATCTCCTGAACTTTAAATTGTTTTAATTTAATCCTTTTGTTGTAATATTTGTTAAAATATATAAAAAAATGAGAGTAATACAGTTATATGATCTTTCTGTTTGAATTTATGTTAAAATAAACAAACAAAAACCACATGACCATACTTAACTTGGTAAATCCAGGATTTACCATTAGAACTTGAACTATTATTTTTCAAGTGATTCTAACTTAGTAAGTCCTGAATATATCTAGATTTACCAAAAGAAAGGGGAAAATACCAAGGAAAGGGTAAATTAGAAAATTAAAAATTAAAAACATGAAATGGTCTATTAATTTCTATACATTGATAAATTGGCCATTTACTTCCATAAATTTTAAATGCAGGCCTATTTCCTATCATTTCTCAAAAACTAATTGGTTTGGAACACATTTAGGAGGGGCAAACCTGAAACGTGGTGGAGATATTAAGGTTAAAGGATTATTATCATTAGTGCCACTTAAATTTTAGAATCATTCTCAGTTTGTCTCTCGAATTTTTAAAACTCTCACTTTATCTCCTGAACTTTAAATTGTTTTAATTTAATCCTTTTGTTGTAATATTTGTTAAAATATATAAAAAAATGAGAGTAATACAGTTATATGATCTTTCTGTTTGAATTTATGTTAAAATAAACAAACAAAAACCACATGACCATACTTAACTTGGTAAATCCAGGATTTACCATTAGAACTTGAACTATTATTTTTCAAGTGATTCTAACTTAGTAAGTCCTGAATATATCTAGATTTACCAAAAGAAAGGGGAAAATACCAAGGAAAGGGTAAATTAGAAAATTAAAAATTAAAAACATGAAATGGTCTATTAATTTCTATACATTGATAAATTGGCCATTTACTTCCATAAATTTTAAATGCAGGCCTATTTCCTATCATTTCTCAAAAACTAATTGGTTTGGAACACATTTAGGAGGGGCAAACCTGAAACGTGGTGGAGATATTAAGGTTAAAGGATTATTATCATTAGTGCCACTTAAATTTTAGAATCATTCTCAGTTTGTCTCTCGAATTTTTAAAACTCTCACTTTATCTCCTGAACTTTAAATTGTTTTAATTTAATCCTTTTGTTGTAATATTTGTTAAAATATATAAAAAAATGAGAGTAATACAGTTATATGATCTTTCTGTTTGAATTTATGTTAAAATAAACAAACAAAAACCACATGACCATACTTAACTTGGTAAATCCAGGATTTACCATTAGAACTTGAACTATTATTTTTCAAGTGATTCTAACTTAGTAAGTCCTGAATATATCTAGATTTACCAAAAGAAAGGGGAAAATACCAAGGAAAGGGTAAATTAGAAAATTAAAAATTAAAAACATGAAATGGTCTATTAATTTCTATACATTGATAAATTGGCCATTTACTTCCATAAATTTTAAATGCAGGCCTATTTCCTATCATTTCTCAAAAACTAATTGGTTTGGAACACATTTAGGAGGGGCAAACCTGAAACGTGGTGGAGATATTAAGGTTAAAGGATTATTATCATTAGTGCCACTTGAATTTTAGAATCATTCTCAGTTTGTCTCTCGAATTTTTAAAACTCTCACTTTATCTCCTGAACTTTAAATTGTTTTAATTTAATCCTTTTGTTGTAATTTTTGTTAAAATATATAAAAAAAATGAGAGTAATACAGTTATATGATCTTTCTGCTTGAATTTATGTTAAAATAAACAAACAAAAACCACATGACCATACTTAACTTCCTTTTTTTATGTCTAATTTCAACAAAAATTCTTGTAAAAAAGAGTTATGGGAGTGAAAGCTTTCAAAACTTAAAGAGTAAGTGAGAATAATTTTAAAATTCAGGGGTGCCAATGAGATTACAAATGCAAATGGTTGGAGTGGTTCTTGAAAAAGACGAACTTTAGAGTCATTCTCAGTTTGTCTCTCGAATTCTAAAAACTCTCACTTTATCTCATGAACTTTAAAGTGTTCTCATTTAATATATTCTACTGTAATTTTTGTTACAAATATATAAAAAAAAGAGTAATACAGTCACGTGATTTTTTTGTTTAAATTTCTGTTAAAATAAACAAACAAAAACCACATGGCCACACTCAATCTCTTCTTTTTATGTCCGATTTCAACTAAAATTATTGTAAAAAAGAGTTAAATGGGACCAATTGAAAATTTAGAGAATAATATGAGAGCTTTCAAAACTTAAAAGAGTAAATTGAGAATAACCTTAACCAAATTAATCTAAACATATAATTGGCTATAAAAGCAAATAGTTGGAGTGACAACTTGAAAAAGACGAACAAAAGCAATGCGTTTGCCGGGAGTCGAACCCGGGTCTATTGCTTGGAAGGCAATTATCCTAACCGTTGGACTACAAACGCTAGCTAGAGGAAATTTTATTTCTACAGTTTATATTAGAAAAAATAGGAAAAATCAATTGCTCTTACTAAATCACAAGGACACCCTAAAATTTTACATCACATCCCTATCTTTTAAGAGTCTAGCGCGTAAATATTTTATTTACATCTAAGTTGAGAAAAAGATTTTTTTCATGAAAATAAAAATTTTTTATCACGTAAATAATTTTTTTACCACTCGTAAATTATTTTTACCACTTGAAAAAATGACTATTTGGTTCTCGAGAAAATACTTGTAAAAAAAAAAAGAAGTGAATGAAGAAAAGAATCGTAATAGATCCTTAACTCTTCCAAATTTTATATTTCAAATAAGCGAAAGACCATTGAATAAGGACAAATGTATTTTCCTTTGTTTCCTCGGCTAACAAGTATAAATATAGGTCTCGTTTAATTTGTTGATTCGAGTTTTTAATTCGAGTTGAGATGTAATTTTATGTGAAAGCTTTATACTGTAGTAAAAAATTTAGATGTGACTGTTTCTGAGAGCTTTTTACTGTACTAAAACTCAAATTTTAATATTGAATCGGTGAAATGAACGGGACTATAATTTGTACTTCTCTATTTAAAGCTCAATATAGATTATCTATGCGAAGCCTAAAATAACAAGGAGAATGAGACGTTGGTTACGCAAGGAAAAAGCATGCAAGCCCTCCGAAGCAGCCTTGCGTATTTCCAAATTTTCAAGGAGCAAACTTGCAAAACTCCCTGGATGAGTGCATCAGATGTTCAAATTCCTTCAGGTGTTCAAACTCCTCACTCCCAAATTCCTGCGAATGAGGATGATATGCAGATTCCTCCTGGGAATGATGAATTAGAAAGGAGTATTCCTGAGGAGGCCCAACCTTGGATGAGAGGAGAAAGGTTGAGGGACAAGAGGCGCTATAAAGAGGCCCGAACCGTTGTCATATTCTAAATTTCAACGCCCACAAAATTGTAAGTGTGTATATATATATATACAATTTTTTTTTTCCCCCACATTGAACCGACGAAGGTTTATGGTTATATCCCAAATTTTCGTTTTCTCCACATTGAACCGACTATGGTTCATGGCCACATCCCAAATTTCAACACTCACAGAAGTTTTTATTTGCTCATAGATACCAAAAGACAAACCGGCGCCCATTAAACAGATAAACTGTCTATTCACATGTAGCTAACTTTAAAGGGAGATGACACAAGTAAATTAGGTAATATATACGAATTATGAAAGGTGGCCCTTTCCTCAGCAGTAACTGGACTGTCCAGCGAGAGAAGTTGCCGTCAAAAACACGCCGGAGATTCGGACAGCTCCCACGACGTAAGTAGCCACCATTTTCTTGAAGGAGAAAGTGCATATTCCCA